TTCTCAAGCTTCAAACTCAGCCTTCTAGGTGATTGAATATTTGAGTACTGTGTGCTATTTAGATTATATAACTATCCTTTTTTGAGAAATGGCCCCACTATGCAGTCCAGGATGACCTCAAACTCTGAACAGTTTTCACTCGTGCTGAGCTCACAGGTGAGAGCCACCTGTCCAAGATGATTTTTTCTGTTTCCTAGCAAATGTATCTCTTCCATATTCTATTGAGATGCCTGTGAGAAGACTGAGAGAAGAAGTCAAATCCACAACTTTATTCACTTTATTAAGATGATCTGTAAACAAAAGCAAAGCTCTGTACTCTTCTACCATAATGCACAGAATGAGCCTTGCCTGCTTACAAAGGACAGTTTCTTCTTGTCATTTTTCTCTAAACAGGACATCCTACACTAAGATAATCCTGACTGCAGATAAAGTATCCATTTAATAAAAGCCTTTCAAAGTCAATGTGTAACTATCACACATGGGTATACAACTATCTCTGTCATGAAATGTTTCAGGCCTTGCAAAATTATGTAATATATGCCTTAACATGATAATATAATCAAGACCAAAATTCTGAATCAGCTCCAAACCACACACAGTGTTAAATAAACAAATGCTTATGCAACAAACTATACTCATACTGGATAGAGGGCATATGTTAGTTTTATAGTGTTATTTACCAGAATAGAGATTTTTAAGATCTACTTAGTTTATAACATTACCAAAAGATATTCTCATAGCTTCTTTCTTAAGTATAACCTTATATATTCTGAAGCAAATCTATGGAGAAAATTATTCCAGTTCTGCTTAGCGAGAGACTTCCTGGGTTTTAAATTATGTCACTATAATTCTACTTCAGACATTCAGAGGTGTATGAATTTATATGAGAAGCCTGCACGATCAGAAGGATGAAGTACTTAAAGAAGTAATCCCACCTGGAATTAAAGTGATAGCAGGCATGCAAGGCTTGCTTCTCAGTGACAGAATTGAAATAGTTCAGTATTATATTGGGAGCTAATATTTGTGCATATTTTTTACTTATGGAAAATAAAAATATATTAACTGGCTCTAGCAGCCTTACCTCTAAAATATGTGGCAAGGTTTCTTAGCTAATATATTTGCTGTGAAAATATTTCAAAAGCTATATACTCTTGTTTCTCTCTTACATTATTATATTTCAGGCATTGAACTATGAGATAAATGAAAACAAAACAAACAAATCAAGAGTAAGGATATTATATATACAATTTCCCAGAAGCACAGCAACTAGCTCAAACAACATAAAATACAACATGTCGATAAAATTTATTGGAAAAAAAGATATGCACATTGCACCTAATATTTCAATATTTTTAATTTAATATAATAAAAATTCTACCATTCAAAGTAAAATTATAAACTAAATTAAGCATGCATTATTACTTTGAATTCTATCTTGATACATTATTTTACGTTTATTAATATTCTCAACATTTCAAGTATCCTTTTTACTGTCAATGTAACCCAGTCTCCTAGGCTTCACATGGAATCCAATGCATTAAAATTTCTGTGATCAGCATTGTGTCAGAATGGCTATTCCAAACAATCCAAACCCATGGCACTGAAATCTATACTTGCTTCCATTTAAGAGTAACTGTTTCTCACTACTGGGCATGTTGGGAAGATGAACATCTGCCCCAATTGCTGCTGAGATTCTGAAACATTTTAGGAATGCTAGAGCTAGGAAATGAGAAATGCAGACAGTCAAGTGATGTCCAGGGATGCAAACAGAATGGTCTTTGGCTGCTCTGTCTGAAATCCCACATGAGTGTATCAGTAATTTCTACCCACTATGTTTTAGTAACATGAGCCAGTCACCGTTACTACTTTTGGTTTAGCCGAAGCCAATTTGTTTAGGGAAGCCCTCATTGACAATCAAGAATTTTCAGTTAATAATCTTGTGCTTATGTGGTGCTCATTCATCTGCTTACAGCAGTTGTTAAATTTTCAAAATATGGCTGTGTTATATAAAGGTGTGTTATATAATTGTGTCTTGATTGATACCTGCATAGTTTAAAAATGGAAAATACATGTTAGAAAATATCTGAATAGCATCCTTAGGCTCACAATTGATGATTAGTGTTAGCAAAACATATGAGATACTTATGCCTACTGGGTCAACTGCTAAAAAATATACTGCAAGTGTTAATGAAACAACTGATATTGTACTGAAGGTATGTTATGATGAAGGGAAACCACAATTTCAAGAAAAAAATCATGTGGCATCACATAAAAGAGAAGGTATTTTATATATGGCTTTAAAAAAAGAACTAGTTACTCATTTACTTTTGACACAGCTGGGGATTCTGGCAGGACACCTGGAGAGCTGTCTCAGCAGCACCTTTCAGCATTAGACATCCATATACAGGGTCATCCACAATGCTAGCTGGTGAACCTGAGGCAATGGCAGAAGAGCTATCTTTTTTGTGGAGTAAAACACCACACCCTCATAGTGAGGGTCAAGATGTCACCATAACTGACAGATGGAGAAACTGAAGTACAAATAGGTAAATGTCCACAAGTAAAACAGATTTAACCAGTCTATGATGCAGAAAAACAAACACCAGTTGGCAAAGAACATTTAAATAAGAATGTGGATCCTAAGACAACAGGAGTCTCAGACTGAGCAGAAAGAAAAGGATGGTAGTGATAGCTTGTAACACCACACACACACACACACACACACACACACACACACACACACACACACACACACACACACACACACACCCCAAAATAAGAAATAAGACTTGAATCAGCTAAAGACCAGGGGGAAAGACATGTAGGTAATTAGCTATTAATCAGCTTTGTTCTAAGTTCTTGAAATATAATCTATAAGTTTAAGATTCAAGTTAAAACTGTATGGGGACTTAAGTAAACTTACAAACACACTGCAGAATACATTTGAGCTTTCTAAAGTAACTCACTGGGCAAATATGAGAAGTAATTTTCTTCCTATTAGACAAAAGATGACTATGGGCTCCTAAAACTTAAACTACATTATGGGCAGTTAAATGGTTTTCACTTTCAGATTGCATTAAAACTGAATTACAACCACTACTTTCTGAATTGCTTGTTATTTCTTTCCTCTATAATGAGAATATTAATAGTGAAAATTTTCACACAATCAAATACATGCGTTGCTCCATTTGATTCAGTATTATTAAATGCAACATTAAGAGATTTTCCTAATTAATTTCACAAAGAGTATCAAATAGGATCATGTAGCAGGAAACTGCCTTAGGAGCATACCATCAGGTAGAAAAACAGGCAAAAAGCAAGCAAATACAAAGCAGTGCAACAAGCAGGTGTGGTTGGCATATGCTAAGACTGGAGAATGTGATGGGCCATTAACAAATATAGGAAACATCCAATTCATATCACCTTTCACACTCCATCCCACAACACAAAGTGCCTCAATTCACCACATGTCACACACCACTGCATATCACATAGCACTCACGACACATTACATATCACATGTTACACATTACCACGTATCACCCCACATGTTACTACACAACACCATATAACATAGCATACAATACATATTACACAGCACCCCATATCACTTGCCACCATATATCACACAGAACTTCATATAATCTATCATCACATATCATATGACATACATATCACATAGAACTACAGATCACACAGCACCATATATCACACATCAACAAACATGCATCAACACGTATTTCCACATTTCAATCACACCACGGGGCAGCATACATCATACACCATCCCATATCACCTTGCAGCCCCTATCATCAAAAGTCACATAACACATCTCATCACATAGCATAAATCATCAGATATCACCACAAGTTATATATCTCATACTATCACACATAATTACTACCTGCTTTACACGGTCACATATTACAATATCGATCACTTGTCATATGTTCTTCATTCAGGGACCTTATATTATGCACAGTCATATCTTCTCTGGAAAATCGACACCAAATTGTCCATCTCATTAATTGAATATTTCATTAAAAATATCTATGATTTCATGTTTAATGTCTATGTATATTTGTTATTATGAATTTAATCCACCTTTAGCAATTATGAGGATAAAGTCTTTCATTTAGTGTGTAAAATCAAATTTAGCTTTCAGTGGGAGCCAGTGTTGTTTAAAGGAAAATATATAAACGATAAGTGTATGATTTACACTTTAAATATTCTTTTTGAGCAAACACACATATTTGGAAAAATGCATGACTGTATCATCTTCCACCTTGCCAATTTCTGATAAAATAAATATGTACATGGCAACCAGAACACAGATTAAGGAAGGCAAAACAACTCATTGTTAGCAAACCTCTAGGCTTCTTACCAGGCAATATCATGTAATGCAACAAACTTCAATAGTGTAAACTTGTAGTAGCCTGTGCTCCTTGCAAAACCTAAGCCAACTTTAAACTAAGCTTATATTAAGAACTGACTTCACAGGTGGAGAAAGGCCTCAGCAGTTGAGTGCCTGCCTTTTCTTCCAGAAGACCTAGGCTCATTTCCCAGCACCCACATCTTCAGCTGAAGACCACCAGGGGATCTCTTCTGGCCCCTGCAGGCTCATCCATACAGGGGCACACACACATTTACATAGAAAACAACAAACAAAAATACAAACTGGTTGCATTTTATATTACAATCCTGCAATTCTTAAATCATTGACCCAGGACCAGCATGCACACAGACACAGTGTTAACTTCTCAGGTTGCTGACCCATGGCCTACAACAAGACACCAAAATGAAACTTAAGTGACACAAGTCAGATACCCAAAGCAGCAGGTGGCAACGAGTTGTTGAAATGCATTAACAGTGAACAAAACAAATTTCTACCCATCTGTAAACTGTCACTTTCATCAGATGCTGGGGTGTCCGGGCTGCTAACTATACTTTGAGGTACTTGGAAGATATCTCACAGCCTAAAGTCTTAAATGACAACTTACTGTTTTGAAGGCTCAGGACACTTTGGTTCTTCTAGCTTCTTCATTTCTCTTGTTGGGTCCACAGGGCTAAGAAGGACAGCTGCACATGACATTAAAGAGTGGCACGAATCTTCCCGGCAAACTGTGGTTTGAAAAAAATTAATTATCAATGTTAAAATCACTCATTGTCTGTTCTCATGTTCCTCATTTCATTTTTATATTTTCAGTTAAGGTCAGGAATATTTAAAAAAAAAACATTAAGTTTTCCTTAGTTTTCTTTTGCACAGTATTTTTCACTAACTAGCTGTACAACCCTATGCAATTTTACTTGGCTCTATAATCACAGTGGGGAAAAAAGGTATCCCTAACATTTAGCAGCCAAAAGACAAGCTGTTTGTTGAATGGAAAATAACAAGTGTATGTTATGGCATGTGTAGTTCATAAATCTTCACAAGGAGAATTCACTTGCTTCATCAAGACCAATCTTAGGAAAATCATACATTACCATGTATCTAAACACCTGTGGTCTCCTTTGTGTCTTGATACAGCCCCAAATTCACCAATGGCTATCACAATGTTACCATGAAGAGGCTGCATTTCTGAGCTTTCTGTATGAAGTCATAAGCTTTGTGATCATTCTTAAAAGGATGGCTTACTTTGTTCCATATGAATTTCTAAGATCCATCCACAAAATGTACTGTTGGTTTATTGTGACAGTGTACCTTTCCCTTGGATAAATAAACTAACTTGTTTTTATTCTTTAAGTAGCAATAGACACAGTTCTAGTTGGGGGCTGTTTTGATTGGCTATAAAGATCCTTGCATTTTTTGGTTGATTACAAATAGAGATTTGTTCTTGAAAGTCTTCTCGGAGCTATAATTGTTCTTAGCATATGTAGCAGACTGTATTCTCAATAATAGATACCAGTGAACAGTTCTCTGTCCCAACTGCTTTCCTTTCCCCTAAACAGATGCTTCAATTGGCCCCACACCCATTAAACACTTGATTTCACAAGTTTTCCCATTTATGTTTCATATTCTATGAAAACTATATTGCTGCATAACAAATCCACACAAGCTCTGTTTAAAATAACACTCATTGTCTCAAAGTTATGTAGGTTGTAAATCTGGGTAGGTGAGCTCGATGCAGATCTCCTCTTAAGGCCTCAAATGGCAAATGTTAATGTACTAATCTGGCTGCACTCCTATCGAAAGTTTCCATGAGCCAAGCACTGTGGCTCAAGGAAAGACCTGGGGTAGGTGGCATTCCAGATACTACCTCCTGTACCTCATCTTGAAATGTACCCAATAACCTGTTTGTCTATTTAAAAAGAGAAGTCTGTGTGGAAGTAATCCACTGACAAATCCAATCAGGGTTGTGGTGACTGGCATTGCCTGCCAACTTGACAAGATCCAGAATCCTGTAGCAGACAAGCCTCTGAACATGCCTGCTAGGATTTCATTATCAGATGAACTGAGGTGGGAAGACCCACCCTGAATATGGCAGCACCATCCCATGGCTAGAGTTCTGGACTACACACAAAGGAGAAAGTGAGATGAACATAAGACTTCATCTATTTCTCTCTGTTTCTTGACAGTGGAAACAGCATGGCCTCATGCTCAGGCTGTTGTGGACCATGCAATGATCGTTGGAACTAAATAAACTTTTCCCTCCTGAAGCTGACAAGGCCAGGGTATTTTGTCTGAGCAGCCAGAAAAAAAGTGAATGCAAGGATGTTATAAGAATTTGCTTCCTTCCTGTGAGAGAAAATCAAGGCTCCGCTTTCCAGGAACAACCATGTGACATCATAGAGTTCTGCCTTACATTCAATTAAAGTTATTATTCAATATAATACAATTACATTATATATCTTTCACCTATGTGTTCCTGATATTTTAGTTAAATCTGTATGTACATAGTCCTCATTTATGTGACTCTAATTTATACAAATTATTTTTAATCTTACTCGAATAACACCAATCACCCCAAAAGCACTGTTCAATTACTGCTAAGATGGTGTATCAACTTTAATTGTATGAAATATAACAGTCCCTAATTCTCTTCAGTCTACAATCCACTATGTAGATTCAGATCATAATCAGTGGCAAACGTGTAAAATTTTTCAGAATCTGATGATTGCTGATCATTGGGTACCTGCAAGTGACCACAAGCCAAGAATGGACTATGCAGCCTTTTCCAAATCCAGATAATCTACAGGGATAGATTTGCCAGGAAAATAAAAGTATGGGGCAGAAGTGAATACTGATAGAACTGGAAGGATATTTGAATTGAATGTAAATGCTGTTACTCAACTGATACAAATATTCATTTCAACAACTAAGTGATGACAGCACAAATTGGCCTCTTACTCAGTGTAGCAAAAAAGCAAATAAGAAAGGGAATACAAGACAGTGAAAGTGTCACAGAAAGAACAAGGAAATGCAAGTCAGCCAATAGCATGATCCCAAAGAGAAACTAACAGAAACCAAGTGCAAGTTTCTTCACTTTCTCCTTAAAATACTGTCTGAAAGTGTCACATAAATAACAGAACCTTGGTATTTAAAAGAAATTAAACTACACTCAGCTTTTAGTATTGCACGATTTGGTTCTTGGTTATTACAACGAAGCCAAACCAACATATGGAGGAAAGTGTTTATTAGAATTACAGGTTACCATCCATCATTTAGGGAAGCCAAGGCAGAAACTGAAACAGAGAGCATGGAGGCAGGTCTCTGGAAATGGAATTAGATACAATGGAAGACCACTACATATTGACTTGTGTCTGTGGCTTGCTTAGCACTCTCTTATACAACCCATGGCTACCTGCCAATTAGTGGTACTGCCCATATTGAGCATCTATCTATTAGAAATCAAGACAATGCCCCACTGGCATGCCCTACACAACAGGCATGTGGAAGCAAACCTTCAACTGAGGCTGATGATTCCCAGGTAACTATGGTTTGTGACAAGTTGATTAAAACTAGCTAACACAAGTACCCTTAAATTTCATTTATCATGCTACACAAAATTAGTGTGACTAATTCAAATAGAGAAACAATAACATTTCAAAACAGAAAATAAACCCACTCTGCTCCAAAGGCAGAAATTGAGAAATAACAGAGTCCTTAGCAGCCATCACTGGCAGGAAGTGTCCCCAAGACAAATGGAGCAATGGATATTAATATGATAACAATATTCCAGCAAAAGACATTCTTCCAAACCCAAGTAAATTCTTAAAATGCAGATCAGTATCTTGTACTGATCATGATGTAAGCTCTGCTATGTTGGAATTGAATTTGCATACCAGTTGTAAATTATCTTGAATTTTATCACCCAGAAAAGTATAGGGGAAAACTTTTCAGAATAAATGAATATCAGTAAATGGAAAAGCACATTTTTATTAAAGTATACCTTAATGATACAAATTAATATGAATGTTCATAAAAATTCCAAATATTTATGGGGTAAATCATATGATTTTATAGAAGATAACTAATGGATTTTTTCACTTAAAGAACTTTATAAAACAACATGGATGTTGGTGGTATCAGGACAATTTACATCTAATAATAAAACTTATCTGGTATTTCTGATATGTCTTACAAATTAATACTTAAGGTTAAGAAAATTTAAATGTGCTTAGAAGAGATAACTGAAATTATTTATGGATTCACACACAATAGGCTTTAAGTAATCATAAGGCTAAACAACAGAAAGTGGTTGGCATTAGGAAGGCACAGTTTTGAAGACCACTGCTCAAGATGTTTGAGCAGAATGGTTTCCATGTTCTTATCCACAGTGGCTCCCATCAGCAGACTCAGAGCAACAGATTTTTGGCTCTCTTCTACTGTGCCCAACTTGATGCTCTGAGGAGTACCATTTCTTTCCTCCATTAAAACATGTCTTATATGTTCTTCCAGTCTGCATTTGGTTCTTTGTGAGGGAAGACACGACTGAGGAGGTGTCCCAAATCTCCATGTGCTTCACCTACTAACAAAGGCCAGCACTCTGATAATGGTGCTAAGTTCTCCCTTTGAAATGACTTCATATATTATTGCACAGAGAACAAATAGCCAAGGATGATATGATATGAACTATAAAGTAACCTGTAACTGGTGCAGTTGTTTCTTCTGCCATCATGACTCTGTACTCAAGAATACAGTGGCTATATATGAAACAGCTGATCTGAATAAGGGGGAGCTCATGGACCCCCAACTGAAAGCTGGGAAATCAGCATAGGACCAACACAGACTCCCTGAAAGTGGGTGTCAGTTAGGAGGCATGGGCAATCTATGGGGCCTCTGGTAGTGGATCCCTAGCATGGGACTTTGGAGTCCATTCCCCATAGAGGGATATTCTCTCTGCCTAGACACATGGCGGGAGGCTTAGGCCCTGCTCCAAATGATATGACAGACTTTGAAGATCCCCCATAGAAGTCCCCACCCTCTCTGGGGAGCAAGAAAGGGGATGGGATAGGGGGTCGCTGGTGGAGGCAGGGAAGGAGGGGAGGGAAAGGGAACTGGGAATCACATGTAAAATAAGCTTGTTTGTAATTTAATTTTTTTAAAAAAATAAATTCCAAGTCCTCAACTTTTGTCTACTGGATAAATTGAACAGTATGTACATATGTTCTGATTTGCTTATTTATGGACAGGAATCCATGTGTCTCAATCTGGCCTCAAACTCCCTAAGTTATTAAAGATGACCTTGAATGCCTATAACCATTAAATAAATAGAAGCAGTCATTAAAATTCTCCCAACCAATAAATAAATAAATAACAGGGTGAGACAGTTTTACCTCAAAATTGTATCAGATTTCTAAGAAAAATTAACACCAATACTCTCCAAATTATTTCACTTAACAGAAACAGAATTAACATTGCCAAATTCACTTTATGAGGTCACAGTTACCATGATACCCAAACCACATAAAGAATCAACTAAGAGAGGGACAGACTAGTTTCCCTTATGAATATAAATGCAAAAATACTCAATAAAGCACTGACAAACTGAATCCAAGAACACATTAAAAAGACCATCTACCATGACCAAGTAGGCTTCATCCCAAACATGGAGGAATGGTTCAACATATGAAACCTGTCAATGTAATCTACCATAAAAAACAAACTGAAAGAAAAATAA